TGTTAAGAATAAAAATAAAATAAAATAAAACAACGGATAAAGAAAATAGATAAAAATATTTGGGGATGCTCACTAACGAGTTGTAGAATAAGGAAATATTGATGGGAAAAAGATAAGAAAATAAAATAAGAATAAACAGGAGATAGGAAAAATATATTATAATAAAAAATATAAATATATATATATATATTAAATAAAAGAAAAGTGAGAAATAACGTGGTTGTGTCTTTTTTTTTTTTTTTGTTTTTTTTTTTTTTTTTTGAATAAAAAGAGAAGATAAATAAAATAAATAAAGATATGTTGGGGCGGTGGTGTAGTTGTTTACGTGTAGCTTTGTCTGGTACTCATGACTTGAGCATTATACAACTCCAAATAAAATAAAGCAAAAGAGGGGGACAATAAAATAAAGCAAAAGAGGGGGACAAAACCATGTGCATAGGTCTGCCCTCAATGTATCTCTGTGTGTGTGTGGTGCCCTGAGTGTGTCATTGTAACAGAATCTTCTTTACAGTGCAACACATGCGGGCAAAGATAGTGATTTAGAAACCTGCAACAGGTACCAGTGTGTCTGTAGCTTCCACCAGTAAACATTACTTTCATGCCAATTAAGATTACCAGAGCTCACAAGCCCATAAGAATGCTCCATTGTGTAGAGATCTACTGGAAATATATCAGGATGATCATAGGAAATAACTCATCATAATGGGTGCGCAAATGCTCTTTAGCTTGCAATATTTCTTCTAACAAGGTTTGCACGCAACCTCGCCTTGGCCGCCCGCCGGACCTCAACCTAGTCCGCTAGAATTTTCTACACATACCTTGAAATTTCTTCGAGTCCACCACCTTCACGCCCAACACCTTCGAGTCGATGAGTTTCCTTTTGTGTGCATTTGGTCAGCTGGGAGAAGGAGAATGTCTCCAGTGAGGCACTGGAACTGGAAGCTGCACGTATTGCGTGCAAACTTGTTAGTTGGGATGGTCGGCGACGGTGCCCGGAGTTGCAGCAAGGCAATCTGTATCTGCAGTAGGCCGAAATGAAACACTGGGTTGCGAGAAGAGTTGGCGTCAATTCGAGCTAGCAGTGGTTTGAGTTGCTGCGATGGTTGGAGGTTTTGGTAGGTTTTAATTGGTTGAGGTCTGGCGGGCGGTTAAGGCAAAGTTGCCGCCCGCCAGAAGGCGAAGAGCACCAAGAGCTTAACCTTGCTCTGATACCATGTAGAAATTTAATGTATAAAGAGAAATGATTGTATTATTGATGTGAATGTTGTTATTCTGTCTATTACAAATGGTTCTTATATAGATGTAGGTGTAGTGGAGTAGGTGGTGGTAGGTGAGGAGTAGGTAAGTGTTAGGTGAGTGTAGTAGGTGAGTGTGTGGTAGGTGATGGTAAGTGTGTGGTAGGTGATGGTAAATTTTAACAGAATTAAGCCGGCACAGTTTATAGGGTCATGCCGAACCGTTATAAGAACTAATTGAAATCAATGTTGGGACAGTTTAAAGGGTCATGTCGTTGTAGGATCTAATCGGAATCAATGTCGGGATAGTTTAAGGGTCATGTCGAACCATTTGTAGAGACTAACCGGTATGAATGTTGAGACAGTTTAAAGGGTCATGCCAGACCGATATAGAGAATTGGATGTTGAACCAGTAAGCGTGGCACAGGTGGTGCACCAAGTGGGCGACTTGGGTGGTGCACCAAGGGGGCGATTTGGTTGTGTACCAGAGGGGACGACTTGGGTTGTGCGCCATAGAGGCGACTTGGGCTGTGCGCCAGATAGGGCGACCTAGGTGATTCACATGGTATATCACCATGCTCACCATGATATAGGTATAATATCCCCCTCAAACTCAAATAAGTTTGAAGATAGAAACCTATTTGATGTTGAAATAGAGGGAAAGACAAAGTGGAACAGAACACACACAAAAAATGGATTGTGAATTAAAAAAAAGAAAATATGATAGAGATATTTAGGATATGAATAAATTAGTGGATAGGGGAAGAGATTTACCATGAAGTGATACTGAAAGAAATTATGGCAGTGGAATGGGTTGAGGTTCGGCGGGCGGCCAAGGCAAGGCTGCCGCCCTGCCCCCGCTGTTAAAGCAAAATTACTAGGTACTTAGTCTAGCTCTGATACCAAAAAAAATGAAAAGAATTATTTGACTTACTCATGAATGAGGTAGATGTCACATATATATATAATATATATATATATAATAGATTCATGATACAATTCAGGAAACGATATAAATAAGGAAACAATACTAAATCAGTGATTGATACAATCACAAATTATATACATAATACTAAAAATAAAAAGATTCTATGTACTTTAATTTCTATATTCAACAATTACTTTGACCTCCCTTGACAGTTAGATTGGCCTGCTAAGCCTTTTCTGATATGTTTGCCAATCTTGGTTGTGGGGATGGACTTGATGGTATTTTAGTCCCTCAGAGCTGAGTGCCAGTAGCAGAATATTGGGTTACTCTATAGCTAAAAGTTTGAAAGATGAAGAGAAAAAGCCTTGCCCCACTGCCGAAGGATGACAAGAACCCAAGAGGAAACCGTTGTATGAAACTTTAGTGTACAATCGTTTTCATAGCACCCAATAATTAGATTTAGACAATAGAGTGAGGATAAACTTTTTGTATGTTTGTTTATGAAGTCATACTGGAGAATAAGATGCTTGGTTAAAGTCTTACTTCATCCACCTTTGCATATGTTCAAGATTGCCTCTATTCCATCTCATAAGGCCAAACAATGCTTTATGTTCGCAAAATGTTGGGCAACTAAGAAACATGTTCACAAAATGAGTGTAGTTGAGATGAGAATGCTTAGATGGATGTGTGGTAAGACTGAAAGATATAATTATAAATCAAAATATTTGTGAAATGGTAGGAGTAGCATCAATTGAAGATAAGTTGGGAGAGAACATGCTAAGATGGTTTGGTAAAGTACAACGAAGACTTATAGATGCAATGGTAAGGAAGGGTGATGATCACCATAAAGGGAAATGTTAGAGGGAGAGAAACGCCTAAACTGACATGGGGTGCGGTAATAAAAAAATGAATTTATTTAATTTAACTGAACATATAACCCTTGACATAGTAGGATGACAAAAAATAATTCACGTAGCCGACTCCACTTGGGTGGGAAACAAAGGCTTGGTTTGGTTTGGTTTGGTTTGGTTTGGTTTGGTTTATTCTAGTTGAACAAATTGGCTCTCATATTTTCAAGTAGCGCGAAGGCACAAGTACTAGCAACTCCAGAAACAATTTTCATTGTTAGAGGGAACCTATGCTATTAAAAGTGCGCCTAGGTGTGCGCCTAAGCTCAAGTCCCAGCCATGCCCACCCCCTGCGCCTTGCAATGGTCAAGGCAAGATGACTTCACTATGGTGCGATTAAGGCGCACAACTGGAACAAGGTGCAATTAAGCCTAAGGAGCAGGCATTGAGGGCGTTTTTTTTTTTTTTTTTTCCCCCCGAGTTGGGCCACTGAAATTACATGGGTTAGCTACAGAAGATCATATCCTTCAAATATACATGCTAATATTGTCGATTTAGTTGACCTTTAGATCATGGATATTCGTGTTTTATGTTGAACTTTGGAATATTACTCTTTTGTCTATGTTAAAATGGCAATATTTGTTGGTATTTATTTTTTAAAATGTTCAACGTTTCATTTTGTTTATGCTATACCAGTTAGTTGTTTGCTTATATACCTCATATTAAATTATATTATTTCAACCTGCCATGGTGCGCCTTACTTCGATGAAGCCCGTGCCTCGTCTTGCGCCTAAGGCCTCAGGAGACCTTGGTGCCATGGTGTGCTTATCGCTTTTAATAACACTGGAGGGAACAAATTTTCTGTCTATATCTTTGTTTTGGGTTTCAATTAAACTAATAAAGTTACTGATCTACTATTTTAGGTTTCTTAATGTATGGCTTCAGGCTGAAATACTTGTCATGTTGCTTTTTCTTTGCTAGGTTTGTTGGTGTTGGAGCTCGGCGTGTGAGATCCTTATTCCAGGCAGCTAAGAAGAAGGTTTGTCAGTTTTAAAGCCGCTGCAATTTTTTGTGGTTTTTCTAATCAGAAATAATAAACATGTTATTTATCTTGGTGACCATTTCAGTGATTACTATGAATTTTTGCATCATAGATCTTGTGATAATTGTACTTGGTATATGTTGCACATTTACAAACACCATTGCAAGTTCCAACTGTCTCTCATCTTTTCTAGAGAAATTAATTATTACTTCTATAAGCATGTTTCAGTCGTTCCTCTTATGGAACATTATTTCATTATTTTGTTAGTCACATTTTCTCAAAGATAATTAAAAATTCGACTTGTCTTAATGAAATGAAAAGAAAAAAAAAGAAATCTAAAAACTAAAACCCTATCAAATGTGTATATATATATAGAGAGAGAGAGAGAGAGGGAGAGAGAGAGGCTTAAACTACTATAATGTGATGCCTTTGAACCCACCATCCATTACTTAACCTAATCTGTCTGTCAGAGGCTTGAACTAGTATAATGTGAGGACTTTGGACCCACTGTCTATTACTTAACCTAATATGTCTGTCTGACCCGAAAGACACAATTAAAAATTGGTGAATTTAGATTCTATATTTGGTCAGCTCACTTGTTCAACGTAGTTCTTCATTTTGAAGCTGTATGTATGGTGGTTGGTTGGTATTGTAATTTGGTGGCATTTTTGTTTTGCTTGTCAGAAAGTTAAATATCAAAACTAGTGTGTAGAATAATGAGGCCAAGTATAGATAAAGATGCAATGTCATTGTTCTCCCAATAAGCTTATGTGCTAGATATATACAAATTTGCACTTCATCTTTAGGAAGAAAGCTAATGTGTTTGCATGACCTTTTTTCTACTTTTTAAGGAAATATTAACCTTCCAAAAAGGAAGAAATGGGAAAATAAAGGGCACCAGTCCTTAAAACTTGACAAGATGCTACTGTAACTAGATACTCAACTCAAAAGGAACTAGTTTCTGGTGAACCTTCTCTAGTTGGGTCATGCAAAACCATATTCTTAGTTATGTCCAAGGCAATCATGCAATTTCTCACAGCCTCAACCAATTTTCTCACCTTCACATTGTCCTTTTGATACCTTCAACTTGGATCAAATCACTCCAACCTTAAGCATTAAAATATGTTGTGACGTGTTCACAGGTGCCATTTTTTTCCTTCTTATTTTGTCTTTTTCTTGCCAAACCATTCACGCATCTAAACATCCTCATTTTAATTATACTCAATTTTTGAACATGTTGTTTCTTAACCACCCAATTGCTGCAACATCTTAGGATAAATTGTTACAAGTGAGAAAGGCTAGTAGAAAAATGGCATGCTATGTATACGTGTCACATTCTTATCATACTTCTGTCAGCTTTATGCTAAGATTGGTTGTCTATGTGCATGATTTTGAAATGCTGAGAGAAATCTGAAACTCAAATATTTAAATTAGGAAAGTTAGGAAACCTTTTGATGCAGGACAGTGCTGGTGGGGTGAAAATAGAGGCTATTTAGCGGCCTAAACAGTGTGTACTTTAGAGTTTTAAGGGTTAAATTAGGATTGATTTGAGGGTGATTGGATAGGGTTTTAAGGTTGTAAAATGCACTTTTAGAGGGCTGTCAACAGTAATCCGAGAATAGTAAATTGAAAAAAAAAAAAAAAAAAAAAAAAATCCGAGAATAGTAAATTGAAAAAAAAAAAAAAAAAAAAAAAGAAGAAGAAGAAGAAAAAGAAGAAGGAAGAAGAAGATAGATTTATGAATCACTCCTAGAATCCTTTAGGCATCACACCTAGGGTAAGGATTGCATCACACAATCCAAAAGAAAGCTTCAAAGCTTTTCAAAATTCTCTAAAACATCAACTCTATTAAATTATAAGCATTACATGGCTTTATATAGAGCGAGTAGACTTCCTAAACCAACTATAATAAAAAAAGGAAACTATTATAATATCTTTGACTTCCAAAACTAATTTGAGATTAAATAAGAAATAAAAACAAAGACTAATTAAATAACTTGACTCACAAGATGACCCATGGGTGACCCTTACAGCCCATGTAGACAAATATAAATTACCAAAATACCCTTTGCCTAAAAATCTAAAAATAATCATAAAATAGAACTATAATAATATTAGAAACATAATTATGTATGATTCTTGTCGATTTCTCTTTAAAACCATTCCAATTTCCAAATATCACCACTTCTTTGAATTTACTTTTCCTTGAGTTTCTTATATTCTGCATCACCTTTTAATGTGGTAGAATCTAAGAAATTTTGCGAACTTTTGGGAGAAATTGGGGAAGGTTTTGGTGAGACTATAAGAAAATCATTAGTAGCAACTCACTTAGAGCTTAAACTATTTGTCATACATGATATGCTCTTTAGATGAGTTAGTTAATGAAACATGTGTTACACTTAATATGTAATAGAGCGAGTGCCATGTATATTTTGATGTAAACAACCTCTGAGCACTATCCATTTTATTTAATTTATTTATTTTTTAAACTTTCAAATATCATATCATAACTATGTGGTTGAAGTTTCCCTTTGTGATTGATTCTGAATTTTCGTTAACCAATTCAAATGATACTGTTAGCTCAGACTATAATAGTTAGTGTTGCCATTCTTTTATACTTTAATTGAAACTAAAATCATTGCATCATTTTTATTCATAAACAAAGAAATGATGGGCTTAACAAGAACACATGATGTTGCTTGTAAATCAGGCATATTGTTTCCTAAGATGTGGCTACAAGTGGATCTTCTCTCAATTTTTACAATGTCCAACATATTTTTAAGTTTTAGAATTCTTTCTGATTTTTCCATTTACAACTTACTTCTTTTAATAGGCTCCTTGCATTATTTTCATCGATGAAATTGATGCTGTTGGCTCCACACGGAAGCAGTGGGAAGGCCATACAAAGAAAACATTGCATCAGTTGCTTGTTGAAATGGATGGGTTTGAACAGAATGAGGTATATAATGACAAGCTTGTGATATCAAGGCAATGAAATTTTTGTTGTGCATTTTTAAATGTAAAGATGATTTTCTTTTAGGGCATAATTTTGATGGCTGCAACAAACTTGCCTGATATACTCGATCCAGCTTTGACAAGGCCTGGTAGATTTGACAGGCATGTAAGTTCTTTGACATTTCATAACTACGTTAATATTTGATATTTCTTAGTAGTTGATATTCTTAATTCAAGAAAGTATTTGCGAAATCCAAACATGATATCATGGAAGATTTTTATTCATCTGATTAGTTGATACCTAAGAAACACGGACATGAATATGGATGCGGATGCGGAAACGGATATGGATGTGGACATGGGACGCAACGATTTCAAAAAAAATGGGGACAAGGACACGGACACGGCGAGGATACAACAATAAAATATATTTGCATATATTTTTATTTGCTATCTAGATTTATATTACATTCACAAATAATCAATATTAACAAAAACTAACTCTAATTTTATACTCTTTTATATTAATTTTTTTTTTAAAAAAATTAATACTTATAGTTTATATATATATATATATTTTTTATAGATGATCTATTAAGTATTTAAATCTAAGAAAAAAATAATAAACATTTAACATACATCAAAAGCACTAAATAAAATGGGAGAAAAGATAACTTGGCGTGTCCCTAGTGTGTCCCTAAAATGTTCCCGGCGTGTTCCTTGGAAATAAATTAATTAAATAAGGGGACATACCATGTGGTGTGTCGCATACGTGTCCCCGCCGTGTCCGCGTGTCCCCCCGAAATGTCTGTGTCTGACACTGACACTGACACGACACTTGTTTTGAAGTGTTGGTGCTTCATAGGTTGATACATGTTGAATGTATCATAATATCATAATCTTTCAAGCTTACTTCCTCACAAGTTTTCAGTATCATCTAGTGGACTTCTTACATCAACATATAGTTGTTTATTTGGTGGTACTTTTTGGAAGCCATGGTTCTGGAGACATGGTCTGTGTGGTATCGTCCTGCGAAGATAATGAACTAAATAAAGACTTAACCGACAAGAAAAAAAAAATGAAAAATGAAAAATGAAAAAAGAAAAGAAGCTAAATAAGGAACTTGAGAACATTAGGAAGATAAGCCTGATTAATATCTTCCTAAAAACTTCCTTTAGTGGTCTTGGACTGGGCCAGATCACAATGACTTAATAGTGGAACCAATTTCTTAGAAACTTTTTCTGGTTATTCACTATGACCTTGCAGTAATCCTGTTCCACTTATCTAGTTCACTCAGCAAAATCTGAAGACCGTAATCTTTGGGCTGTGAAAGTTCTGTATATTCGAATGTTTTCTGGTTGCATTCCCCTGGTTGAACATTTCAAACTCAAAGATTTACTGCATGTGACTCTTAAGCTTTCAACTAACTAGAGTCTCTCTGGTCTGATGTCTTTTTATATGTTTAGTGACTATTCCTTGCAACTACAGTTAAAAAATTATCTTGTGAAATATGAAGCACAGATACTCCTAAAAGGACAACGTATCCGTATCGGATACCGATACTCCTTGGATATTCGCAAATATGTATTGGATAGTTACTAAAAGTATTAGATACTTCTTAATTATTTTTCCATTAATTTTGGAGTGTCGGATACTTAATTTTCAAGTATCGGATACTCAAAGTCACGTATTACCTTTACAAAATTAGAATTGTAGCACATATTGCATAGCATTATAATATAATATAATTGCGAGGATAAATACAAGAATATTTTTTCAATACTTTGCTTAGTTCTTTGATAAGAAGACATAGTGAATTAAAGTAATAAAATTTGTCAAATCGACTGATTCTTATTGTATCATGCACGTTCCTTATAACTACATAGAATGTAACTTGGCTTGATGTCGACTAGAACTTGTTTCTAGATTGTATCATGCACATTGCTTATTAACTAGAACTTGTTTCTAGATTGTTGTTCCTAATCCAGATGTACGGGGTCGCCAAGAGATATTGGAGCTCTATCTACAAGATAAACCATTGGCTGAGGATGTAGATGTGAAAGCAATTGCTCGTGGTACACCAGGGTTCAATGGAGCAGGTATATCTTTTTTGTCCTTTCGGATAAATAATTCCTTTTCCTTAAACTAGTCCTGGTGTCCCACCAATTAAATTTTTCTCCTATGAATATTGTGAGTAGGACTTACATCTTCTTCCGTCATAACTTTCATTTCAATCAGATCTGGCAAATTTGGTAAATATTGCTGCCATTAAGGCTGCTGTTGAAGGTGCTGAGAAGCTAACAGCTGCACAATTGGAGTTTGCAAAAGACAGGATAATTATGGGTACAGAGCGGAAAACGATGTTCATCTCAGAAGAGTCAAAGAAGGTAGGCATATTGTTAATGTTGAAATCTAGGGTGAGGTTTGAACTATGGCTAACTTGGCTTTATGTTTTATATCACAATTGTTGAGTCACAGGTTCAATTCTTCTTTGTATGCCCTAGGCCAAAAGATTCTGGCCCTTATTCTAGACCCAATTTTTTGATTTTTTTGGTTTACTTGTTAGGCCTCAAATAAAAAAGAGCCCAATCCAAAGCAAAGAAGAGTAATGTTTAAACAATATTTACAATTTGTTCAATTTTAATTTTGTATTATAATTTTAGATTGTTTTGGTGGGTTTTCCTGTTATAATTATAAAATGGATTTTGCTATCTATGTAAGCAAATTTTAGTATGTAGTTTTGGTAGTTATATATGTGAAAAACTTCTTTTTGTTTTTTGTTTTTTGTTTTTTGGGTGAATATAGGGTCCCCTATTGGGGTTTCGCCTAAGGACACCCAAAAACTCAGGGCTGGACCTGTTTTCCTTACCCTTTTTTCTAAACTTCATTTCACTTGGAGCAGAGGGAACAAGTGTGGCAGACCTTATAATCGTGAGCTCGTCTGGGCTTTGATGATGGCCTTTTGTTGCCTAGGATCTCAGAGTTATGCCATTGATGTACTCATGGCTCATTCCAGTTAAAATATTTGAGGCCCTGATCTGGGACAGAACAAAGTTGTCCTACTACTGGCATAAAATAAAACTAAGCCAGTAGAAAATGCTCCAGAGAGTCTTCTAGGCCAAAATTAAACTGTGGAAACGAAATTGAGAGTGGTCTAGATTTTGTTAATGTGAAGCATGGTGTGGTGTATTAGATGTACTTTAGGATGGTTAGCATCACCAGATATTTTTATTTTTTGCGTAGTGTTGGAGATTTATTTTCCAGTTGAAGTCCTATTTTTAGAAATTGTTCACAGCATTGATACTGTAGCTGACATTACCTGCATATGTTTCAGCTCACAGCATATCATGAGAGTGGACACGCAATTGTTGCCTTCAATACTGAGGGTGCACATCCAATTCATAAAGCAACGATTATGCCACGTGGATCTGCTTTGGGAATGGTTACACAACTCCCTTCAACTGATGAGACATCAGTTAGCAAGAAACAGTTGTTAGCACGACTTGACGTTTGCATGGGAGGAAGAGTTGCAGAAGAGCTTATCTTTGGTCAGGACCATATCACCACTGGAGCAAGTAGTGATCTTCACACGGCTACAGAGCTTGCCCAATACATGGTATTCCTTGTTTCTTCACAAAATTATTTTTAGAACCTGGTGGTTCATATTTTTTTTTTTTTTTTTTTTGTGGGGGGTATCTCTTTTGGTTTTGGAGGGAGAGGGGGGTGTTGGAGATAGGAAAGTAAAGGGAGTTACCAGTTTCTGTAAAAATTTGTTACAAGTTTTTGCACATGTAATGCACGTATAACGCGAAATTGATTTATGGTGCAATGGATACATTTGCAAAGTTTTTAGTTGCTAATCACTTGTCCTTTTAGCTTTCAGTGATTTGACGTGAGGAATTTCCATAGCACAAACTCTTAATTACTAGAGAATGAAGTTATGGTTATCTGCATATTCATGTCATGATGAGCTTCTTTATTTTCATTAATGATGCTATGGCATTGTTTTCATCTGCAAGGTGTCAACATGTGGGATGAGTGATACAATTGGACCAGTTCATATCAAAGAACGACCTGGTTCAGAAATGCAATCACGCATTGATGCCGAAGTATGTGTTTTAAATCTGGAGTTTTGTGGTTCAGTTATGACATAGTTCTGGGAAGTAATTTGCTTTACGGGTTGTGCAGGTGGTGAAACTTCTAAGAGAAGCATATGATCGCGTGAAAGCCCTGCTAAAGAAGGTTTGTCTATGAATTCTTTATTATAATTGTAGATTGTGATTAAAAGGAAAATAAACAAAATCATTGGATGGATTAGGAGGTTGGTAAAAAACACTTCAAATGTTACATGGTTAGAAATTTGTTCAATGAAAATGCACATTGGCCCCTTCATGTAGTCACAGAGAAGTGGTATTCTTAAGAAGCCATGCTTCTAATGGGGAGCAGGGTAAAAATTGAAAACTTCTGGTATTTCACACCTTGAGTGCATCTTTCTTAAAGCTGTTATGGGTAGAATTTTATTTTGCTACCCTTATTCCTCTGCCCTGATATGGATGTGTTTTTAGGTTCGGGTTTAGTATCTGCTAGTTTCCTGTCCTTGTCCAAGGTTTTAATTTCGTTCTTCAGGTATTCAAGTAATTGTCTACTGCTGTATATTTTTCTCGCTTTGGGCTTCTTGGTCATGTTTTTGTACAGTTTTCGGTGATGTAGTTGTGATTTTTACGAAGTATATGCAATTACCATTTAAGAAAATGTTAAAAGAAAATATAACAATTTACATATTCTATGTCATCAAGCATAATGAGTGACGACATTAAGCATCAGAGTTTGCAGGGCCTATACAGCTCATCAAGACTTCTTTCATTTGGCTGGACTCTTTTACATAGTTTGTTCTTAGTTGAGTAAAAAAAATATAAAAATATAAAAAAAATATTGGAAGTGAAGCTATAAAGGTTGTTGACATTATGCATCAGTAGCTGGTATCTTCACAAGTAGAGCTAGTAATGCTCTGATTCTACTTTCTTCTGCTTTTGTTCTCAAATTCTGAGCTTTAACTAAACTAATTGACTACTTTCCCAGCATGAGAAGGCATTACATGCATTAGCCCATGCACTTTTGGAGTATGAGACACTTAGTGCAGAAGAAATCAAGCGTGTTCTTCTACCCTCTGGGGAAGGACGGCTGTCCGAGCAACAACAGCAACAAGAGGAGGAGGAGCTTGCATTGGTTTAAAGCCTGGATCTGTTCTTTTGTAACCTAGTCTGCCATAGCGGTGAGCTCTGTACAGTGTATACAAAGCACGGCGGGCAATTAATTTTATAGAATCTTAGAAATTTTCTCCCTCTGCATATTTTCTTGTTGTAACATGGTCTTATTTGATTGGAAACTATATTTCATTTGAACTTATACCCCATTGTGGGTAATTTTTTAAAGCAATACATCAATAATTAGTTTATTGCGGTGCTTGTTCATTCCTTCTATTGATCCTTGAATATCGATGAAATGTTGTTTCATTTTCTATTTGGAAGAATATCAATAAATAGTTTATTACAGAGGAAGCTGAATTGCTTGCTTGTTTGGTTTCGTTTTCGATGACTTTTCTTCTCTCCAAAATTTTGATTGGTAATGTGGAAAAAAATTTCTTATAACACCTCATTTTTAGGATAAGGGTCCTAAGGTTTTGTTTTTTTGTTTTTCAAAAATTGTTTTCATATGAAAATGAATTATTTTTAGAGGGTGGTTATATATCACCAAAATAATTTATCAAAACTCATTACCTCATTCTCATGTAGCATAGTTAGTCTCACTATTTATTATACATCTAGCATGCCTTTTATTGCATCATTACATTTAAGAGGTGATTTATAATTAGTGATAAATACATTTAGGATAAATTATGTTCATCTCTCTTAAGATATGAAAAAAATATAAGAAATTCTATAATTTTGATATAATTATACTAATCTCTCTTTTTAGTAAGGGCTGGCTTGGGATATCCAAAACAATTGAAAAAGTCAAAAAGTTATTAAAAAAATTAAAAAGTTATCACTATTCACCACAAAAAAAAAAATAAAAATAAAAATAAAAATTTACACAAATTATTACAACACAGTCTGAACCGTTCCACAGACTATTGCTGAGTTGCTGAAATGATTTAGAAAAAGGGCCTGGCTTTCGTCCAGTCCACCATCGGACTGGATCGTGCTGTTGGGCCTGTTGGGGCCCACCACGGGTCCCGTTTTGAAAATCTGAACCGTTTAATGTGTATAATTCGTTGAGTATTATATGTTTGTGAAAAATCACGTTGATTGGATATCAATAGCTATGTGATCAAAACAGTTTTTTTATCAATCGTTAATTTATTCATTGTCCATTTTTTTATACAAAACTAATTTGATCACATAGCTATCGATATCCGATCAACGTGATTTTTTATAATTTTATAGTACTCAACGAGTTCTACACATTGAACGGTTTAGATTTTCAAAACGGAACCCGTGGTGAGCCCCCACAGGCCCAACAGTACGGTCCAGTCCGATGGCAGATTGGACCAAAGCTAGACCCTTAGAAAAATTGCGCAGGCGGGATGCACAAACAACACAGTACTGTTTGGCCCGTGGGGGCCCATCGCGGGTCCTGTTTTGATAATTTGAACCCTTAAATATGTAGAACTCTAAAAATATAGACTATTTTTATACGGTCCGGATCGGTTCCAATCCGGAACCGTGGGATTCAATCCGGAACCAATCCATGAACTACGGATTTTTAATTTTTCAATCCGGAACCGAACCACGGATTCAAAAAATCAATCCAAACCTACTGGACTGGATCGGATTACGGATTTTACGGATTTCTTGCTCAGCCCTAGTTAACGGTTGAAAAAAAAAAAACAAAACCGATCACATAGCTATCGATATTCGATCAACGTGATTTTTTACAAGCATATAGTACTCGACAAGTTCTACACATGAAACGGTTCAGATTATCAAAACGGGACCCGTGATGGCCCCCCACGGACCGAATAGCATCCTCCAATGCAATACCCGAAAAGTAGGTAACCATTTCTTATCATCAATTCACTCCCCTAGGCGGTATGGCCTACTGCCTACTGTCTTTATCTTCTCCTACACACTAATTTATACAATTTTTAATACACATTTTTTAGTAAAAAGTCAAAAAGTTAATTCAAACAATCATATTTTTTTCCTCAACTTTTTAATCTAAAAAGTTAAAAAGTGAATTTATTTAAGATACCCCAAACAACCCCTAAGTTTAAAAAAACTAAAATTAATGCAAATGATGTGAGACACAAATATAAACGATGAAAAATATACATTTTAATATAAAAAAGATAAGCATTTTTTTATTTTATTTATTTGTATGAATACTGAATTTATGATGAAAAAGTAGTTATAGGTTAAATGAATTAAAACTTTCAAGAAGTCAAATGTAATTATACTAAATTTGTAAGGAATTATTATTATTATTATTTTTTTCTAATCTCAGTATAATTTACCGTAACATTTTTTTTCCATTAAAAAAACAGTTAAAAAAAAAAAAAAAAAAAAAAAAAAAAAAAACTGCTCTAAAGTAATATATATTTTGCACCAGTATACTCGTAACACGTTTGCTTGACTTGTGGATAACCAGCAGCTTGTGTTGTTCAAACCTGAAAGCTAACTTGAGGACCAAAGCTTTGAAATTGTGCAAATGGAGGGAGAAGTTCGGTGCATGGGGTTGACTAATCACCAATGATGGGAGAGTTGGAAATCAACTCCAATACACATTAATACTCTATTTAGTTAAGAGATTTAACAAAAAATTTAAAAAAAATATGTGAAATTATGTAAAATATAAATATATTTTATTCACATTTTATATATATTTTCTTATTTTTTTTAAAATTCTTTCCTAAATCTCTCTCACCCCCTAAATTTTGTACTTTAAAATTTAAAAATTTATTTATTTATTTGATAAATACTAATACTAATACTAATAATAATAATTTATTTTTTAAGTATGATTACTTTTTTATTTTAAATTTAGCAATGTTAAAATAATTGAGAATTTATTTATTAATATGTTAACGTCCTTTTTGTCTGATTAGGGCCCAACTTTTTTAGTTGTTTGCTAATAACTAAATAAAAAAATTAAAAAAATGATTACTCAAGAAGATACAAGTCTCAATCATATATAGGCAGCAGTAGCCTACCTAGAGCAGTCATCATATATTCAAAATAAAGAAACTTTTCTTCTCTCATTTATTTCACAACCAGTGAACTCAAATCATCAGAACCAGTGACCCAAAACACAATCTCTATCTTGTGCATCGTGAGTCTTCCGGCGTTCAAGATCACCTTTCCTCCTGCAATATTCCGATACTCTCTCTCTCTCTCTCCCCATGATTTTCGTCTCTTTATCTCTTTCTCTCTCTCTAAAGTTAGGGTTTATTATTTGGAGAACAAAGATTAGACTATAAACTTGGTAATGTTGGTAATGGAACCAATTCTGTAATTCTTAGTCAACTATTTATACTTTTACATTACATTTCTATTGTCAACTATTGAGTACAACTTTAGATGCCCAAGTAGAAATGTAGAACAAATAATTACTTTTTTGAAAATTAATATAGATTTATTAGAACATATCAAATTATATTTTGATAATATTTTGTAATTATATACGATGAATGGAAACATCTAATTATATATTTTTGTAATATTTGAATAAAAATTAATATTGTATATCACATGCTCAATACAAATTTTTTTAATTATATATACACTCATCCTTCAGATATTAGAATCTTACGTCCGTCCCTGCTCTCAAACAAATATAACGTAACTTAAAAGAAAAAAAAAATAAAATTGGGAGGTGTTCTCTCCCGTGAGAAGTAAAAACAAGCTGTCACAATGTCAAACTATACTACTTATGGAAAGATTTTGGGTTTTGATTTCCCCAAGATAAAACTAACTAGTTATGGAAAGGTCTCTTGGGGTCCGGACTGCCATTTGTGTTCTACGTCAGAAGCTGTTTTTCAGCCCTAATGATTGTCCCATGCCATCCTTCTCATAAAATACTTCTTCATATTTGTTTAAAATATAAATTATTTTTTTAATTTAAAAAATTATAAATATTTTATTATTAGAATTTTTTATTTAACAGAATTAATTAAAAAAATAAAATTTTTAACTATTTATTTATATAATAATAAAATTATCTGAATTATTAATTGAAATAAAATTTTAACATTATTAAATATTATTAATTAACTTAATGATTTATTAATAAAAAGTCCTATTTGTTATGAAATTAAAAATCTTAGAAGACATAATGTAATTTCTAGAATCACAAGAGATAATTTATAAGTTAAGTAAATCTCAGATAGTGTGTTTGTAATTTACCATAAAATAAAAATAGAGTATATATGATTGGTTTTTTTTAGATAGTATATATTAACAACCAATCATATATATTATTTTTTTTTAAAAAAAACCAATCATGTATATGTATTTTAGGGATTTGGAGTACCTGTTGTACCCCAAGTGTAAATCAAAGTATAAACGCAGTGGATGAAAAATTATGGTCATACCTTTTTCTATAGAGTCTGAATTGAAGGATCTCGTCGGTAAATCACGTGCTTCCTGAATCTGATCAATCAACCCAACAATGGAGTAATATTATAGAATGAATATCACCCACACAAGTTATAGTACAAAATGACTCTTGATCGTTGTATTTTGAGAGAGAGAGTCAGTATATGGAAAAAAACATACGACATACGTTGTTTTTCTCTTAATCACCCATATCCCATATCATATCAGATATATAGGATAATATCTCATCTATTCATATCAGTTAATATGATAGATATGGATATCCTGAGTGGTTATCCAAGTAAGTTTTGAATTCAAATTCAAACTTACATGGATAAGGTTCAAAAGATTCAAAGGGTCATGCCGCATGGGTGCTCAATTTCTAACATCTCTCACTCGGACATGAGTAGGCATGACACTGCCACATCTCTATCTCAATCTCCCAAAAAAATGAACAATCTCATACTAGTCATTGCACCGTGCGACTACTGAGTACACCTGCATGTGGGAGCTCTATACTAGAAACTATAAATGAGCTAGCATAGAGACATCAACCCAAAAAGAATAGAAATAGTGTCTCATATACCCTAGACCCATCTAATTACACCGGTCCAAGAAACATCTCTAATCCTTCAAAAAGAGCATGTTTGACCCTCTCAATTCTTGCAATATATTCACACTCAATCTGCCTCTCATACAGAGCGATGTGAGTTGCCAGCAGTGAATATACAATAGTGGTGTAATACTAGATGATCTTCCCTTTGCCCTCATGCCATTTAGTTTAGGATTGACCACTTTCCCAGTGATGTTCCTTAAGGCCGAATCATACGTGACCGCAGGCAACATACCAAAGTAGCAGAACATCAACCCCTTACCTT